AGTCTGGTGGTGCCTCGCCCCACCCCTCCCGGCCTTGCCCGTCATGCCCGCCATGCCCCGCTTTACTGGGCCTCTCCTTGTCCAGCTCCACTTTGCTGGGCCAGGCACCAAAGTGCCGCTGAAAACAGCGGAGTCTGTGTGCACGCTTGCCTTGCCTGCGTCAGCCATGCTCTCCATGGCGCACTACAGTTGGTCTGAGGCATGGTGAGCATGGCTGATGGTTGAGCTTGTAGCAGGTGCACACACAGACTCCGCTCTTTTTGGCGGCCCTTCCTGCTGCTGGGGCTGCTTCTCGCCTTCCTCCACGCTAGCGCCTCCATGCCTTGCTCGCCAGCCTGATTCACAGCCTGCAAGGTTTCCCTTTCACTGGGATCACCCCGCCTCCGAGTGGGAAAGCCACAGCCGGTGGCAGCATGGCCACTGGCGATGCTGCCAGTCTCTCCCCCTCCCCTTGCCCCTTCCTGAGCATGGAGGAGACAAAATGGGACTTTTAGCCCATGGGGCTTCTGCCTGCCAGCATGTGATAGGAGATTGCAGGGGCTGTCGGGGGACACGGCAGGTGAACAGCGGTGGCATGTGGTTTCTGGCATGGGGGGTCGGAAGCAAAACTGTCCTTTTAGCAGGCATAGAGTCAATCCCGGTATGGAGGCAACGGAGGGGAGGGTGGACTAAAAGGGAAGCCACTGCTCCGCATTTTTTTTAAGCTGCCAGAGGCTCCCATTTTGACCCCTTCCCCTATCGTTTCCTCCTGCTCTGTGGCTCTCAGCTCACCTTTCCCAGAACCTGAGCACGTGTTTGTGTGAGTGTGTGTGTGTGTGCATGCGTGGGGGGGGTTTTCTCACCTCTTGCAGCCCCACGCTGTGACATTGAGGAGGAAAAGAACTGGTGAGATAAGAGAAACTGTGATGGGAGCTTCTTCCAGCCTTCCACGGGGCTGGGGGCGGGAGCTGAGTGGGCCAGGGTGCGATGCGATCGGCAGCAAGTTGAGAAAAAGAAACAAATACTCCAAAAAACCAGCTTTCATTAGTTTTCAGCCTGCCATTGCAGAAGGTCTCTGTTGAGGGTGCGGGGCTGCAAGGGGTGAGAGACACACATACACACCTTCGCGCGCGCTCACACACACACACACACACAAACACATGTGTGGGTCTGGGAGAGGTGAGTTGAGCCATGCAGAGGCAATGACAGGGGGGAGGGGAAGCCTTTGCCCACTGCTGGCTGCCTGTTGCCATCTCTGCACGGAGCCTCTGGCAGCTTAAAAAAAGGAAGAAAGGGAGGGAGGGAGGGAGGAAGGAAGGAAGGAAGGAAGGAGTCAGGGAGGGAGAGAGGGAGGAGTAGTCAGGGAGGGGGGGAGAGGCATTTCGGTTGGAAATGCCCCAGTTCAAAGGAGAAAGCTATTTTGTGTTCTGTTTTGTCACAGACAGAACTTTGTTGGCAATCCAAGTTAACATTGGTATTCTTGAACTGTGAGCCCTTAGGAAAGTATCCCCTCCTTATATGTTGCAAACAGCCATTTCCAGTGGGGAAAGCAGGACAAAGCAGAGTGGGGGAAAATATTTTCCTTTGGTATATTTCCAGTCTGAATTAGACCAAGGCAGGCTCCTTACAGGAGAGCCCTTTTAAGGATTATGTATTAATAGAAAAATGACTAACCTACCTCTGCTCATAAAAGCTAAAGCTGTTTGCACATAAAAAACAGAGGAGCTCTGATTAACTATCACAGCCACCATTTTGACAGTTTTGCTGTACTGTTGTCTGTGGACGCCCCCACTAAAAGCAAGCATGGGATAAACTGAGCCTGGTTTGTTTTCAGTCTTTTAAGTGGCCACAAACTACTAGCAAAAGTGGCATTTGATCACAAGGCAAGGAGGCATCGAGAAATGTTTCCCCATTTGCATCTGAGCATCCAAAAAGGGACAGAAAAGGAGAAAGGAAAGAGGAAAGACAAAGAAAAAAGAAAAAAGAAGGAAAGAGGGGAAGAGAGTAAGGAAGGAAAAAGAAGGAAAGAGGGGAAGAAGAAAGAAAGGAGAATAAAGAGGGAACAAAAAAGAAGGGAAGAAGGAAGGAAGGAAGGAAGGAAGGAAGGAAGGAAGGAAGGGAAGGAAGGGTATTAAAATGAGAGAGAGGGAGGGTCTGAGGGAAGTTCTGCCTTAACACTTGGCCACCAGCAATCCTGCTGTCCTTTTGCCATCCTCTTGTCTCCTCCTCCTGATCTCTCCTGATGGTCTCCCATCCTATTGCTGAGGATGCTTTAGTTACAAAGCCAGGTTTCCTCGCTTGGAGAGGGAGTGGGCCTCCCTCTGACCCACATACTTTGCCCTTCTGCACACATCATGAGCAATCTGGCCAAGGAGAGCAAGAACAGCAGCAGCAGCTTCGAGGAGGAGGTAAGTGCAGCAGGGCACCTCCTTGGGACAGCAGGGCTGGCCTGAGCTGGGCTGTGGGGTCCTGGTGTTCTGGGAGCTCGAGGACCAGGCTGGGCGCTTGCCCTCTATTGTCCAGGGCTCCAGGCAGTCTGCGCTGTCATCTGGGGGTCTTCCACATGGCCTGAGACAGCCATGTGACACCCCTGCTCTAAATGCTTATAAATAATTAAGTGGGGATCTGGCTGCAATCACTAATTCAGGTTGGATACAACATACTCTGAGTAGAACTGTCCTCATAAAGTATTTGGAAACCTCAGTTATCAGAACTAGATTTTGGTGGAAATCTAGTCTATTTTGGGGCACAGCTGAAGTGATACTTATTTCCTAAAACGGTGGTCCCCAACCTTTGTGGCTTGGCGGCCTGGCTGAGGGGAGTGAGAGGGGAACTGGGCCATGTGAGTGGTGGGCCGGCACATGCGCAGCTCCACTCACACAAGAGAGAAGCCTTTGGGGACCCTGTGTAAGAGTCATCCCAAGAAATTTGGCCAACAGTTAAAAGGATTCTTATTTCAGCATACTTTTGAATTATTTTACTTTTGCACTATACATGTGGCACTGTTATTAACTCCTCTCTCTTTAATACTACCATGTTTCCCTGAAAATAGGACCTTGATTTTTTTTCCCTCCAAAAGAGGCACCAGGTCTTATTTTCAGGGGTGGGTGGGTGTCTTTTCCACTCACTTCCGGCACCGACAGCCCCGCCCAGCCAGCCCACTTCCTCTGGGGCCGAAGGAGCAGCTTTGTTCTGCATCTGAGAATAGAACTCTGGCCTGCATTTCATAGTCAAAGGCCATTCTGGAAGGTCACTGAAGCTGAGAACCGAGCTAATCCATAGCTCAGTTCTCGGCTGCAGAGGCCTTGCAGAACCGAGTTATGCATTCAGTCCATAGCTTGGTTCTCAGCTGTAGTGGCCTTCCGGAAAGGCCTCTGACTATGAAATGCAGACCTGGGGATCCCACAGAAGTGGTCCGGCAAGAAGAGACCTGGTTCCAAGGTAAGCTGGTGTGGGACGTGTGGGGCAGCTCCACCCCCACCCTAGCTTGATTTTTAGGTGTGCGCCTCACCCCAAAACTAGGTCTTCTTTTTTGACTAGGGCTTATATTAGGCCCACCCACAAAAATCAAGCTAGGGCTTATTTTCGGGGTAGGTCTTACTTTGGGGTAAACACGGTAATAGCAATAGCACTTAGATTTATATACCGCTTCACATGCTTTACAGCCCTCTCTAAGCAGTTTACAGTGTCAGCATATTGCCCCCAACAATCTGGGTCCTGATTTTACCAACCTCAGAAGGATGGAAGACTGAGTCAACCTTGAGCCGGGAAAACTTGAACTGCCGAATTCCTGGCAGCCAGGAGTCAGCAGAAGTAGCCTACAATGCTGCATTCTAACCATGGTGTAGTGACATTATTGTGGTTAAGATTTTATTGCATATATTTATTCCATGGAGTAAGCTATTTTGATGGCTCTGGTACTTGAGATAAACTAAAATAAATCAATAAATTGGCTGAATTCCATACAAGACATGGAGTCTATAATTCAGGTTGTTGCTTTTCTCAAAAAAAAAAATGTGAGAAACAGCAGAAGCCTATGTTAACACTGGAAGTCAGTGGACAGTAGAAGCAAATGGGGCAGCTTTCCAGGGGCCCAAAGAGTTCCAGATAGCTACAATAATCCATCTGTTTTTGAGAAAGGCCTATGAAGCCAAGTACAAGAAGCCATTCTGAATTCTTCTGCAATGTGAACACACAAAGTCTAAATTGCCTCTAGGGAAAGATTTAGAGTGATTAGATGATAATATTTTTCTCATTTTTTGCCAAAATGTTCCTCTTCCTGAACCACTCAGAGTACAGTCTGCTCACCATGGACATAGGAAAATATTATTTTTTCTGATTATGGATACTGTAGAGTTATTAATATCAGTGTATACTTTAAGGAGCCTCCCATTTTGATGAGTCACTTCCAGACTCTTCCCACAAAATAAAGCTTTTAACAAGGCTGAATTGGGCTTTCCTGTCTCCTTAATATTTGTCCCTCTTCTTTCCTATACTTATATTAGCTTTTCAAGACAAAGCCCAGCACTGAACAGCATACATTTTGTGATGTATGGCAATGTGTCCTGTCTAGCCAAAGCCTCTATCAGACCAAACAAGGCTTTTACACATCAAACCTTACTATAAGTCATTCAAATTCTTCTCCACTCTCTCACATTCCTCTTTTATGGATTCAGAAACAAACAAACAAAAAAAGCAATGGCTGTCACAGATCTTTCCAACATTCAAATGTGTTAATTGAGTATTTCATGTTTGGCTAAAAGTTCTTTCCAACTTCATGATTCAATCTTGGTATTCTGCTTATATTCTCAAAAAAAGAAAAGAAAAGAAAAAAAGAAATGGAGAGCAGCCTATTAAATGAGCAAGATTATAAATCTGAATAAACCATTTGTGATTATATAATTTGGTTTTATATGGTTCAATATAAATAAAAAAACACCTTGGAAGCAATGCATATTAAAAATCCACTTTGCATTTTCATTTGACAAGTCACCAAGCATTTCTATGTTTTAAATACTCACTCTAAACGCTCTTCCTCTGTTTTGCGCAGATCAAAGTCCCGCTGAACTACTTCCCAGACATGTTTGGCCTCTTCATCTGTTAATCTGGAAAGATCGAGCTTCTTTCCCATTTTTAGAAAATTAAAACTCCTAAAACTGAAATAAAGGTAAGATAAATGTAATCAAATCGGACACACCTTTAGTTATTTCCAAGGCACATTTAGTGTCAGCTCTATCTGGTTTGGCTTGGCGCCTCACAGGCATCCTGCCATCAAAGGCTAGAAGGGAAGGAGGATGGAAGGGGAGGAAGATAGAAGGGCAATAAAACTTTGTGTGTATGTGATGGGAAATCAGGAAGGGGGAATGACAGGTGATAAAAACCAGAGCAGCCGGATCCTGTTTGTGCCAGCATCCCACGGCCAGGCACCCTGAGAAATATGTGGATTACCCCCAAACATCTCAGAATTCTCAAAACGTCTTGGCGAACTTCAATTGGCTGGAAACGGGCTGGTCACGGGGGAAGGGATAGGCTGCGGGTAAGGCTTTTTGTATCTTTTGAGCGTGTGGAATTCAGAGCTAGCCTCACTTTACTGCAACCAATACCTTTAGTAAAAGAACCCTTTGCTTTAATCAAATGGAGTCAAGGTCTTTCTTTCCTAAGGGATCAGATTGGGGCAGGTCTGACATTTAGTTTTTGTTTAGAACTGTTTAGATTTACAGGAAGCATCCATTCTGTAAAGATACATATAGTGCTTTCTCTGAATAATGTAGAAAATAGTTTTTATTTAGGATGAGTTAAAGAAAAAACCATCTTCTTAAATAGAGACTGCCAAAATCTACTGTGTTTCCCCGAAATTAAGACCCAGTCTTATATTTTTTTTTGCCTCCAAAAGAGGCACTAGGTCTTAATTTTGGACAATGTCTTACCTTAGGACAGTGATGGTGAACCTTTTAGAGACCGAATGCCCAAATTGCAACCCAAAACCCACTTATTTATCACCGGGTGCCAGGTGGGCATGGCAGACTGGGTGGGTGTGGCCAAGGTGGCGGGGTCACCTCAATGTTGCTCATGGGTAGGGACGCCTGTGGGGGCCAGGCAGGGTTGGGGGAGATCCAGGGGGTCTCTGGCAGGTGGGGCGGTGGACAGGAGGCTCATCCTGCGGGGTGAAGCGAGGCAAGGCGAGGCAGAGCAGGGGGTGCCATTGTCGCAGGGTAAGTTGAGGCAGGGGCCGGGGCGGTTGCTGCCTGACACCATTGGCCCCCGCACACAGAGACCAGTGAGTGCATGGGGGCCGACAGTGTCTGTCAGCAGCCACAGCCTGCTGGCCCCTCGACCAGTGCACTCTGGGGCTCTGCGGCCCTCCGCCAGCAGTTCAGAGAAGCCACCTCTGAGCTGGATGGACGGCCTACAGCTGAGGAGGCGATGCAGTGGGTCGTGCCCGGGAAAAGGAGAGCATGCGAGGCCAGGAGGGATGGGATGTGGGGAAGGGAAGCCAGCTGTGCTGGGATGCATCCGGCCACGTGGGACCTCGGCGAGTTAGCGGGTGGCTGGTTGAAAAGAGATGGTTGCCATCTCCGGGGCATGGCGCACGTGCCCACAGAGAGGGCTCTGAGTGCCGCCTCTGGCACGCGTGCCATAGGTTCGCCACCACTGCCTTAGGACCATCACAGCCAGGCCTCCCACACCCCGACAGCTGTCACCCCACTGCTTGACTTCTGCAGCCGCTTGCTGCCACTTGTGGCTGAGCGCCATGTGGCGCATTGCGCCATTGCTGCTACTCATGGCAGGAGGCCACATGGTGCTTTGCGCTGTTTCTGCTGTTCACGGCTTCGGGTCGTTTCTGCTGCTCGTGGCAGGATGCTGCGTGGCTCTTCGGGCCACTTCTGCCAGCAGAAATGACCCAAAGAGCCACGCAGCGTCCTGCCGCGAGCAACAGAAGCGGCACAAAGCACCATGTGGCATCCTGTCGCGAGCAGAGGAAACGGCCCGAAGTGCTGTGAAACCTCCTGCTACTCGCGGCGGCACTAGAGTGACAAACCACAAGGCTTGACAAGTGTCAGGACTTGGGAGGCCTGGCTGCGGCGGTCCTACTGGTGAGGCAAGTGGGTGCGGGGCACATGGGGTAGCTTCACCCCCCCATCCCCGCCCTAGCTTGATTTATAGGTGTATCCCTTGCCCCAAAACTAGGGCTTGTTTTTGGATAGGACTTATATTAGGCCCACCCTCAAAAATCAAGGTAGGGCTTACTTTTTGGCTGGGTCTTACTTTCGGGAAAATATGCTTTGTATGTATAGTCACTTGTAGTGAAAATGGATGGAAAAATTGAAAAAAAGATTGAAAATATTTAGTTCCAGCAATATAGAGAATCTGCCCTTCTAAAAGAAGTTGGTGACATTTTCCAAAAAGAAATTTGAGTTGTCACTGGGCAGGTTTTGCCATAATTTTGGCTGCAATATATAAATATAATTCAGTTAATCAGGAATAACAATCAGGAATAAAAAGTTAAAGTGAAGAGAATGAGCAAAAAAGCTGTATATTCCAGGGAACTGTGGATTCCTCTATATCTGTGGTGGTGAACCTATGGCATGCATGCCATAGGCATCATGCAGAGCCGTCACTGTGGGCATGCACACCATTGCCACAGACAGAGGGACGCAGGGCTGGGTTCCTCCCCTCCCCCTCTCCACACATGCAGAGTCCAGGAACAGTTGTGAGAGGTGGGCAGGGTGAGGGAACCTATAAAAGGAGTTTTGGCGGGAGAGTGAGTGAGCGGCCTTTGGAAGCGACCAGTGGTGGGTTTCAAATCATTTAACAACAGATTCTCTGCTTCGCCTTCCTTCCGTCTTGGTCGGGCTGGGCTGCTTGGGGGTCAGCTGGGGTGGGTGCAAGAGGGTGGGGGTCATCAGGTCCCGGCTGGGGGAAGGTGAGGGGGTCTGGCTAGGGGTGGGTGGGAGGGCCGGGATGCCTCCACAGAGAAAAGCTGCCCCCCACCAGCCGAGCCTCTTACCCACACTGCGGTCACGTAGGATTGCATAGAAGGGGCATGGAGCATGGGGCTGGGGGGGGCGGCCAGCAGGGAAGAATCAGAACCACCATCCCCCTTCCGCAGTGCAGCCCCATCGGCATGGGCGGAGACAGCCCCGGGACAGCCGGAAAGAAGCCCTCACCTGGTGCAGGCCCTGTCTACACAGTGGCTCTGACAGAGGCGGCAGCTGCTGCTCCTCCTGCTGCTCCGAGCCCCTTGACTGGCCAACCACACAGGGAAGCAGGAGGTGGCAGTGATCCCTGCATCGCCAAGCCCAGCTGGCAGCAGATCTGGAAGCGAAGCTGGACTGCCCATCCTCACGCTGGTGGAAGCAGTGGTGGGGGAAGGCGAGCTGTGGCACACGCCCACCCCTCCCTGCTGACACCCTACATCATCGCACACGCACTTCCCGGAGGTGCACATGGCACAATGTGGGGCAGCAGCGGCAAAGGGTGGAAGCATGCCAGATCCCGCCTTCCCCCACCGCCACCCCCACCAGCGTGAGGATGGTGGTACAGCTTCACTTCCAGATCTGCTGCCTGACACCATCAGTTTCCGCACACAGAGGCCAGTGAGCGCATGGCGGCTGACCGTGTCCATCAGCAGCCACAGCATGCTGGCTGTCCTGCATAATGGCGAACTGGCCATGAAGCCCCATCGGCGTGGGCGGAGATGGCCCCGGGACAGCCTGAAGGAAGCCCTTGCCTGGCCTGGGCCCATCCACTCGACGGCTCTAACGGGGGTGGCTTCTGCTGTTGCTTCGACCGGTCAACCATGCAGGGAAGCAGGAGGAGGTGGAGGGGCAGCCAGGGGTCTGGAGCTGCCTTGGCTGCTCGCTGGCAGCCAGATGAGGCAGCGGATTTCATGCACCAGAGCCCTGGCTGCCTCTCCACCTCCTCCTGCTTCCCTGCATGGCTGACTGGTCGGAGCAGCAGGAGGAGCTTCCTTCCGGCTGCCCCAGGGCCATCTCCGCCCATGCCGATGGGGCTCCGTGGCCAGTTCACTATTGTGCAAGACAGCCAGCATGTTGTGGCTGCTGATGGACACCGCTGGCCTCTGTGTGTGGGGGCCGATGGTGTCAGGCAGCAGATCTGGAAGCGAAGCTGTGCCACCCATCCTCGCACTGGTGGGGGCAGCGGCGGGGAGGAGGCAAGATCTGGCATGCGTCCACCCTTTGCCACTCCTACCCCACATCATCCCACGTGCACCTGTGGGACATGCATGTGGGATGATGTGGAGAGGAGTGGGCATGCACCACAGCTTACCTTCCCCCACTGCTGCCTCCACCAGCGCGAGGATGTGCGGCACAGCTTCACTTCCAGATCTGCTGCCAGCCGGGCTTGGTGATGCAGGGATCATTGCCGCCGCCTCCTGCTTCCCTGTGTGGTTGGCCGATCAAGGGGCTCGGAGCACCAGCCGCCTCCCCTGTAAGAGCCACCGTATACACAGGGCCCGAACCAGGTGAGGGCTCCTTTCCGGCTGTCCCGGAGCTGTCTCCACCCATGCCGGTGGGGCTGCCATGATGCAGGACAACCAGCAGGCTGTGGCTGCTGACAGACACTGTCGGCCCCCATGCGCTCACTGGCCTCTGTGTGTGTGGGGGGAATGGTATCAGGCAGCAGCTGCTCCGGCCCCTGCCTCGCCTTGCCTTGCCCCACGGCAATTGGCACACCTACCCTGCCTCGCCTCGCCTCGCAGAATGAGCCTCCAGCCCACCGCCCCATCCGCCAGAGACCCCCTGGATCTCCCCCATCTTGCCTGGTCCCCACAGGTGTCCCTCCCCACGAGCATCATGCAGGTGGCCACACCCACCACAGCCACGCCCACCCAGTCAGCCGTGACCACCGTGGCCACGCCCACCCAATCGGTCACGCCCACCCGGTGATAAATAAATGGGTTTTGGGTTGCAGTTTGGGCACTCGGTCTCTAAAGGTTCGCCATTACTGCTCTAAATGGAGAAAGTAATCTCCTGAATAGATATTTTTTTTAAAGGTGTATATAATGAGAGTTGCCGTTTGCTTGCTGTGAGTGATTACTTCTAGCAGAGCAAGCAGACACTTTGGAAGAAATATATGGAAGACAATTTTTTGGGAACAAACTCACTG